CAAACGTATGTTATTTTGGATGAAAGCCTCTGAAAACAAAAATATGTGTTCGGCAACTGATGCTAAAAGGCAGTAATACTTTTCCACTACATAGCATCACAAAGCCACAAAGCATCAGGTAAACAGGCATGGGCCCCACGCTAAGCAAGGACACATCTCTCTCACACACACTCCCCCAAACAGTGTCCTGACAGATGTCTCTGGCCCACAGGGGCAGCAGAGCCGTTCCATCAAACGTGTGACAGTTGGCATGCGCCAGGCCGCATGCTCCTCTTTTGTTCCACGCCCGAGGCGGGAAGTGACATTTGGGTAGCCATGGCGCCAAACCCCCCCCCCCAAGCGAGCAGAGAACGGAGCGAGAGCCGGGTGAACGTCCTGCTCAGACAGTCTGGGGCTCAGACAGAGGTGCATGGGGGCAGCCGCCCTGCATCCCCAAATAAAACTGGCTAACAAGGGTCTGTTAAATTAATGTAATGAAAAGGACTACGTATGGAAACTGCACTGATTTATTGGAGGGAAGGCGTACGGCTCAGAGGGTTAGGATACTGCGTCTGATCAGCAGGTCATCGGTTCAAATCCCAGAGTCAGCAGAATGATTTCATTGTCGGACCCCTGAGCTTAAATGCCCCCCCCCCCCAATTACTCCAGGGACTGGCTGACACTGCTTTCTCTTGAAAATCTATGTCACTTTCAATAAAAGAAATCAGTTAAATAAATAAAATGCAACAAATATATTCAGCAAGCTGCAGGTCCACAGAAGTCAAAGCATGCATGATGCCTTCACACAGCACAATAAGGAACGTCACACCACTGCGGGTGATTGATTGCGGGACAGAAGGAAAATCCCATTTGGGGGACAGATTCTCTCCACAGATGGGAGGGACAGAGAAGCCGAAGCGTACGGCTCAACAGGCGAGCAGAACCACCACAGCAGGAGGAGCTGGACCCAGGGAACCAGACAGCAGCCGTTATAAACCAGAAGATTAGCAGACAGTGAATTACAAGCCGCCACCTCAGCGTTCACGCATCTGTTCTTATGGCATTAAAAAAAAAAAAAAAAAAACACTTCACCTCCATTGAAGATCCACCCATGCAAGCATTTAAGGCCACTAAACATCGAAATATTAAAAAAAATATCCGTTTTCTGTCTTTCTGAGACGTAAAATTTTAACTGCTGTTTTTGAAAAAAACAAAGAAAAAAAATGCAGAATAATATGCCCAAAGGTACCGCAGCCTCCTCGGATGAGTGGGCTCATCTTAAAGGCTCTTTAAAAACGCTACAGACCCCAGGATTTTAGAGGTGTCCCTTGAGAACATGAATTCAGGAACAATCCCCCCCCACACCCACATCAGAGCACGGTGTGGCCAAGTCCTCAAATGACTGAAGACCCCCACCCCCCCCGGCCACAAGTTTACGCCAGGCCCAAATTCTCTGTCGATTTAGCGACATCCCGACAACCGTACAGCAGATTTTAATCCGGTTAAACCCAGCTGCAGGGTTTCCATTATAAAAAGATAATAAAAATATATGCAAGGGTAACGACCCCTCCCACTGACACCTTCACACTCATGAACTGGAATGTGCCAGAAAACCACACTGACCACAAGTGTCTCACAAGCTTCTTAATAGAGAAGTGACAACCTGGCCACATGAATCAGACAAACCCAGCAAGAAGCAGGAGAACTGCTGAAGTAAACCTGCATTTTGGACCAGAGTCAGGATTCAAGTGAACTCCGCAGAGTAAGAAGTGAGAAAACATGCTGGGACTTCCTATCACATTACTCAAGGTTTCAGTGTAATTATGGCGACATACTTTACATTTCTTACGCGGCTGCCACCAGTGCACACGCACTTAAAAATTAAACCGAGCTCAATTCCACACATGTTTCTGGCTGCCGTTTAGCCTAAAGTCACGCAGGCCTTGCTGACTGCTGCCACTGCTTACGTAAATCAATTTGGTGTCCAGAAGTCACCACAACCCAGTACTACACAAAGCGGCACCAGTGGGTGGAATCCAAGAGTCTTTCAATTTCACAGCTGGCAGACCAACAATGCATTCTCGTTATTAAATCGGCAAAGTGAAAGAAGAAAATAACTGAAAGTACCCAGCTGATTCACATTCCAGGGGCTACAATGCTTTTTCACCCCCGTATTCAGGACACATTCAGTTCCAGATCAATGCATGTGTACATTATACATTTTACTGTAGTCAAGAGTTCACGAGAAGTTTGGCAGCTCGCAAAAAGGCCTGAAAATAAGCCTGTGCTCCACCTGTACATCATCGTCGTCGTCATCATCAGCATGAGCGAGCACACAGCCATCCACTGGAAGGTTCACACGCTTTCAAACAGCTTCCTGTTCTACTCATTCACATTTCTGGAAACCGGGGAAGGAGAAGGGGCACCTTTAAGATTAAATCGATTCCACCGAGTGCCTTGCAGCCAATTTACACGTCAGCAAAAGACGACATGACAGAACGATGGCATTTTATTTGCTCGCAACCATGAGGGGCAAGGCAGCGTTACACAACAGCCAAAATAACTAGATAACCAGGACATTATTAATTTGCCGTTTTGGCTGCAGGCCTTTGTTACTCCATCATCCATGCAGGCTCTGGGTGTGTACACCACAGGAAGACATGCAGGGCATTCTGGGATGAGTGGGCAACAGCCATTTATGAAAACCTCTTCATTTATTAATCAACAAAAATGGATCAGTCTGTAAATTCCCTACTACTATTATTACCGGGGGTTAACCTGGACAGTATTTTTTCTTCCTTACCATCCCACTTGAGGTCGCCACATAAGCAACATGCTTTTCAAAAAAAAAATAAAAAATATGATCAGACAGTCCCTAGAGCAAATCGGAGACATTACTCAAGTGCCCAAAGGTGAAATAACTTTGCTGATCCTGGGATTATAACCAGTGGCCTTCTGATCAGACACAGAACCCTTACCTGCTTAGCCACATACAGACCCCAGCACAGGTCACAAGGATGGGATTCCCTGCTGCTGACCTATTTATTATATATTAATATCATTAGAGCCAATAACAAACCTCGCCTTGGGGGTAATCATATGACCAGCAGCTTCTGGCAGGGAAACGGCGTACCATGCAACACACGTCACACCAAAGCGTCACCAGCAAGGAGCAGCAATCACATCAATGGATTTTCATTCTTGGCCTCGCTTGTCACACACCCGAGGACGCCACAAAACGCTGGGCACTCGCCTGCTAGAAAGGCGTGGCTCCACAGCTCAACGTCATTTTCCTGCCCAGAGGGAACATTAAACACGCAGGTTCAAAGACGGCGATTAACGTTAGCTGGCGGCTTGATAATAGACAGCAGCTGGATCATGCAGAAAGTTTGCGAATAGCGTCTGCCGATACGTCATACTAAAGGTTAAGGAGGGAGCACAGCTGACGGACTTTAGGGGAACAAAAACGGCAAAAACAGCAGGAAAGAGATATTAACTCTCAAGCAGCAGGTCATCATAATCATTAGCTGACCAGGCACTTTGCTTGACAAAGGAACAGAAAGTGAGAGATCACTGTCAAGTGTACATAGCAACTGTAAAAATGTATATAATCAGTAAACAGAGTTAACTACTGTTCATTCTGTCCTCAATATTGTTGAACTATAATATATATTACAAAAGCCAGATTTATTATTGAAATTGATGGTTTTTTTTTTTTTTTTTTAAAAGAAAACCACCTGGCTTCATTCAGGCTGCTGGGAGGTGATTGAACCATTCAGAATTTGGAACATTGCAATGCCTCTGCAGTGAATGAGCGCCCTCCGTGGGAGCGTGCCTGTAGGCAGCGCCCAGGCGCCCATAGGCAGAGCCGAGGTGCCCTTTCTGGTTCTTCTTCTTTCCTACACCCCCACCGCCATCTAGCTTTCGCAAGGCTGTCCCGCAGACGGACGGGCGGACTCAAAGGCAGAATGTCCGGCTCCTCCGGTCCCGGCGCGCAGGGCTTTTCCGCGAACCGCGCTGCACGGCCGCTCTGTTTACGCTGCGAGGCGCCTCGCCGTTTCCCATTTGTGCAACCAAGTAAAAACGAAAGTTGATTAACACACCACAGATAACCGTCGATAAACACATAACATCTTGCTTCTGCTTACCAAGCTCATCAAAGAAAGATTCTTAACCAAGACAGAGTCAAAATAACATACTAAGGACAGGGCTCTTTGAAACCTTAACACCTTTTATTTTTTACACCTCAACAGGTAAAGTCACAGCAAACAGACAGATTTTTCACAATCACTGCACTCCGAAGTATAAATAAACAAAATTTATAAAATGGTGTTTGACTACTGATGGTGTATTTGTGTTGTCGTTAGCGCCAGAGAATCACCGTAAACCGAAACACAGGCACAGATACACAAGCAAAACGGTTTCATTGAAACGTACACAAGGTGTACTTTCAAGTTTTCCGGGCTGAAAACGCGCTTCAAGCTCAACCCATCAAAATGACGGGACTATCAGTCTCCGGCGGTTGCGTTACGCCTAACCGCCGGGGTCATCGCTCAAACCCGGGTGGTGGAAAGGCTGCTTCGATACCCACGTCCTGCTCGGCCGCAGCCCCAAACAGGCGGCCCAAGCGGCCGTTTCAGCACCCCGTATTTCCTCACATGTGAAAACACCATATGACCCTAGCCAAAGCCAACAGCCAAGGCTACCCCTCTTCAATATATTTTATACATACATTTTAATGGCAATAAACGCATAAGCTCAATGAGCCATGCAGTAGACCACATGCAAGCAATAAAATTTAAAGACATGCATAAACAACAACTGGCATCTCGGATAAATGCGTGTATGGCAGTAGTTCACGCACATCCACGCACCACGTCCGAGATCCCATGCAATGACGCAAGTCAAACAGCCGCCCGTCCCCCGTTAAATGTCATTCTCAGCCTTCGTGAGTAATCCACTTTCAAAACGCCAATCCAATGAGGCCGAAACTGCTTTTTTTCTAATAATTGCTCGTTTACCTTTTTCGGATTGTGTCCCTTGGCTGTTGCGTCTGACCGCTCCAATGGATCCCGTCCACAGTGAATGGGAGCGCTACGATCAAGCCCTAAAACGCAAGGTCAGCTAGACGGAAACACGCGGACAGCGTATGACGAACCCAGAAAAGCATTTGCCTCTTGCACGCATTTATATCACTTCTTCATGGAGGGAATGTATGCCGTATCATCCATGCACGGCCAGCAACATGGCAGCATATAATAACGAGCAGAGCGCAGGACCAACACGGTGCGAACGCGGACCTGACAGAAGGATCCGTCAGGTAGGTGCGGCCGCGTTGACGGATATATGTAGCAGCGAATCACGCATCTTCTTTTGCGGATCTACCACGCCCACCAATGGCACAGCCAATCGTCTACGTCAGTTTTCCTTGAGTGCGCAGGTGCTTTTTTGCACTGTCTTCGACCTGGAGCTTATACATGAGCTGTATAATTAGGACGCTATATAGATTGCATACAAAATGGGATGCCATAAGGAATATGGAATTTATTTTACTGAGTACATATCTCTAATAATATTATATTTCACGCAAAACAACTCACATCCTGCGAAATGCATTTTGAGATGGATTTTTCAATCAAGTTCTGTTCACTTTTAGAGGTCACGCAGCCAATCCTGACCAGTTATATTTTTTCTACGAAATACACAGCGTGCACACATACACACACATTTCTGTGTTGTTTTAGACAATGTTCACGCCGTTGCTGTTTGTGTCAAGCCCATTTCCATTTCCTGGAAATCATATTGCCTGCCGCTGGCGATACGGCTATTTTTATCGTGTGTTGCATTTGTTGTTTGCTAGAGTGGAAAAATATAATTAAAACGTGACCATGTAGGGGTCCACGATTTTTCATATGAATTTTTCTATAACCTTTTCAAATTAAATTACAAGATTGATTAGCTACATCACTTTGGAATATAATTATGAATAGGAATATATATTAGGAATATAATTGGAATAAATTAATTTAGACCAATATTATCATCAATAACACAACTACATGTATTCTATCTGAACTTTTGTCTTTAACCACGATAGTATTTATAAGGGATATCGCCTTCTCATTCTATACAACAGCTCCATCTGCTGGTAATAGCTGGTAGACAAATCCACCCCATGTCTCAGAAAACCCCAGTCAATCAAAAGTCTGGACACCGGTATTGCCAAATCAGCATCTTTATTTTACAAACAAACGCAACTGTTTCCATTGACATTTCTTTGTATCATAAAAAAGCAATTTACAAGCTTAAGAACAAAATATAAAGCAGCACAGAATGATTATGGGTAAAATATATATATCATTTGAATAAATATATATTTCATGCTATAAAATAAATTCGTAAATGGCAAGTTAATAGTTTCAGCATCAGCTCTAACTAGCTTCATTTACTTCAGTCATATAAAAACAGTAGAGTTCTGAGGTTCACAGTTGGGTTGTGAGGTTGTAGTTACAGTGGACTATAAGGAGGTGGCCGAACACCTGTTAGAGACGGAATTAAAGCCGCCCCCCTTTCCCTAGAAATGGAACGTGGGATAGAAAGGGTGGGCAGAGAGCCTTGAGGCAGAAAACAGAGGAGCAACGCTAGCGTGAGGCAGCACAGCCCCACGAGAGATAAGTGCATTTTCCCGGAGTGCGTGCCCGTCGGGCACATCGCAGTACTGAGAAACCCTGAGTTCTACTTTGTTTGTCCCGTTAGGAAACATGACATGCAGAAACTGACCTGTGAGTTTTGAGAAAAATGAGCTTGATAAAATAACAACGACAATAACAGGCAGGATTAAAAGACTAATTGCTAAGGCTCTCACTCAGGCCAGCTCAAATGATTAGTATCAGTACAAGGTGACCTTTTAATTAGGGGGGAGGGGTAGTCCAGGTGTTCTGCTCACCTTCCTTTTAGTATTTGACACAGACGGAGGTGCAGTTGTTTTTTTTTTTTAAATTAATAAAAACACCGTGCAGCGCTACACTCGCCCAGGGTCTGGTGTCCCGTGACCACATTACCGTGGAGCACGCCGGCCAATCCGGACGAAGAGAGCACTGACGATGAGGGACGGAGGGCTTGGGGGTAAACAAAAAAAAAAAAGGCCTGCACCCTATAAGCATGGTTCACTCGACCTGTCCAAACATTCACAAAAACGTAGAAAAATAAATCAGCGTATTAAATCTGCCGCTCGGCTCCCTCAGTTAGCTTCCATGCGCGTAGAGAGCAGGCGGCTCCGCGGCTCACCGCGCACCGTGTGCACTGCCCTACAAAACAACTTATTGCTCTTATATCATACACAGTGGAAAATGTTTTTTTTTTTTCAAAGCAATGGAAGACTTCACTTTTTTTTGACCAGATCAGTGTTCATAAACTACCTGAAGTTATTCAGTTTAAAACAAGAAAGAAGTAGGGCAAGCTGTAATTTTATTTGTAATTAGTACAACAGCCTTCCCTGTAAACTCATTTTTAATTCATACTTATATTCCTACATTGTTTCAGGCCTCCAATCGTCTAGCCTTTTCTGTGAAGTTTTGAACAAAAAGAGTGAATTCAACTGAGTGTCAGTGTCAGCTGATTTGAGAATATGGCTGTATTAGTATGTATACTTTTTAATAAGTATTGCATGTATCCCGCCCCCAATAGTGAGTGTATTTATGCATGTATATATGTTCATATACTCATTTATATAGAAAATTAATAAATAAACCTGACCAGTCTAAAAGCACCATTCAAGGGTAAAAATAAAACATCCCTAAAAATAAACCTTTTGAGGCCTTTTATAGTTGAGTCCCTCAAAGTGGGAATCTGAGTACGTTCCATAAACACCCTTTGGAATACACATTTCAAAATGAAAGAGGGTCACAGAAGTGGATTTGTTGGCGACCTGAAGCAGCGCACACAGCGGGAATTTCGGAAGCATGCCCGGACATCCCAAAGGGCCGTCGGCATCGGAGGACCTTGAGAAGCAGGAGCGACCGCCTTGGTCTTCAGCGCCCCACCCACCTCCAAACCGGCGAGAAACCAAACTGCTACGCTCCATACTCGCTCAAAAAGTAGCGCTCTGGCAGAACAGGAACATTTTAACGATAAGATATAAATCCAAGAGTAAGTCCAAAGCTGATCTCACCCGTCAGAATTACATAGCGGGAGGGCCTCACGCAACGCCCGGTTCCGATGGTGGTGGCGTCACGGCGTATACGCGAGACTCCATTAGTACTGTCACAGAAGAAAGTCTGAGGATTCTGTACCCTTACAGGCAGGTGGAATTAAAAAAAAAAAAAACTCAGTAGCAATATAAAAAGTTTAATTATTTACATTATATATGTACATGTGTAGATCGTTTACATACATACAGACATGTATGTATGCATGCTAAGTTCCTTGAGGAGACAATATGATTACCAGACTGTACACAAATGACAACTGTGTGATGACCACCTTAAATCAGTGTTCGTCTGGTATCACAGTATGTGTCAGATGTTCTAATAAAACGGTGCCACACCAGCCCAGATGGCCTAAAGGTCACTCTCCTCTTTGCCAACAATGTCTCTGTGCAACGATTCCTTCCCTTTTCTGCACGAGGAGCGGATCGCAGCACTAGTGTGGCTCACGATTAAGAGCAGAGGCCGGCTCTGAGGCAGGCTACGGCACGGGAGTGAGGTGACAAGTCGTCTCTGCTAAGATGAGGATCTGATGTACTCTGATGGGTTGGGGAGGCAACGCCTTGTACTTCAAGCATCCCTCCATTAAAAAGCCTCTTGTTGGAGAGGATTATGGGTATGGCTTAGTCTACCTTCAAATGCAATGAGGTAAAGTGTTCACGCAGCACACAGGTTACTGCTTTGCAGACCTTATCTCCTCTATTTCCCCTAAAAGCAACTGTACACTCACGTGTCCATGACTATCCAGAAAGAGCAAAGGATGAAACCAAGAAACAAAATGAAATGTGACACCTGGATTGTTTTTTTTTTTTGGTTGGGGTCTTTGGTTGAAAACTACATGCTGAATTTTGCACACCAAAAAAGGGGGGTGTTATTCACAAAAAATCCCTTAAACCAAACAGAAGACCCCCCCCCCCACTCCCCCTGAAGGCAGCGAGAGGAAGGCGGGTGTTAAGTGTACCCTGGCTAAATACCTGCCCAAGTACAGAGGAACCAAAGCTTTTCACATAAAGCAAGAAGTTATACCCTTGACTGAGGGGAGTAGTAAAGTTCTATGTTCTGCAGGACAGTTCTGCCTGTTAGAGCAACATCTGCCTGCATTACAACCAAATCTGTATGTTCTGAGAGATGGGGGGGGGGGGGATGTTCCACAGAGCTCAGACTGACATGGCAGCTTGTGTGGTGGCACATTCAACCACAAAGACCAGAAGGATAAGACAACAAAGGTAAATTTCACATGTTCTCTGAAGCACGCTTTATGCTGTAAACCAAAACACTGTTATGGCATTTAATGTAGAATGGAAAAGGGCGATGACCGTGATTAAGACAGTGGCATGCCTGGGAACGTCACAACTTCACAGTAACACTGCCGGGACTGACGGAGCAGTTGCGGGATACGCATGCGGAGCACGCACAACGGAAGCAGCAAGACGTGTGGATTAAGTTAAAAACTAACCACGTAGTTATGCTAGATAGCTGGATATAGTTAGACAACCACAAGAGATATCACAGACCCAAGTGCAATTTTAATTGCATCTCTCCATGATATTTTTCTCATAATTTTATGTATTATATTTCAAACTTTTAATAGCCTGGCCCATATTCATGTTTGAACACAAGATGGTGACACAGTTCAGAGGATATATATTTCAAACACATAGCTGGACTCTTTGAGCAGAGTAAGACGTCGTCCTTTTACAGTACTGTGAATGAGTGAAGATATTACACACATATAAGTGACAGAGTGTCAAGGTCCAAGTGAAGTGCCAAGAAGCGAACACATTGGGAATCCCGCAAATGGCTGAATTATTTCATAACCAGCAGTTTGTGAGTTTTAAACCCGGCAGACTAAGTGCTGTTTCACAGGGGTTACTTAACAGGCTAAGCTTGTCCAAAGTCAACACTACAACAAAAACCAAAGCTACTTTCAACCAACAAATTTATAATAGAAATAATTATCTTCTACCACCTCGCCTCCTCAGACGGGCAGAACCACCAACGCGGCTTCACCTCCGCCGCTCAACTTACACTCCACAGGCGATTTCCACATACAAACTGCACCGACGGTTTGACTTTGGATCATTTCACTCAAGTTCTTCTCAATTCCATACCTCTAACTCCTCCGCTTCGGCTAACGGGCGGAAACACACAAAGCCACATGGGAGACCTCCCCACAGGGCGTCACGCCGCAATTCAGTCGGGAAGAGAGAGAGAAATAAGTCCTGAATACGATTACCTGAAAAAGGGGAGGGGGGGGTTTAAGCGTGGCTGGGAAGCCTGACGCCGCGTGTCGCTCGTGTCCAAGCGTTCCCATCCCTTTAATAAGACGCCTTGCACGCACCACGCACGCTGGGTCCTGCGCCACTCGTTCGTTTGCTCGATGCCATTTGTACATGTGAGCCTGTGTGTAGTGTAGTGTACACCCCCTGACCGGCCTGGGCCACATCTGCCACCATCGAACGGGAAAAGCCCCTTTGTAGAAGCTTCATGTTCATGGGAGTTGGATGCTGAAAGGTGAAAGAAGTTACATAACTGCACAAGTGTCTGCCCTGTGTGGGGGCTTCTTGGCTACTTTCCTCTGTATTTCATATATATATACATACACACACACACACATACACACACACACACACACACACACATATATATATGTATATGGAGGAAAGTGAGGTTAGTTGCCTGGTAGACAGTCAGCAGACCATGCGTGTGGTGCCACCATCCACACACCAAGGCTACACCACGCATGACTCCTGTGGACGTTCACAGGTAAACTACAAGACCCCGGACCACAGTGGCCGGCCCGAGTGACTCGGTCTGATGGCTCCCTACACCCCCACGCCGCACCACGCCGGTGTGAGACACGCGCGGCTCACTCAGGCTTCCCCTAGTGTAACCTGGAACCCCATGTATATATATATAATTTTTTTGTTAAAGTAAACGTCATCCTTCCGGGTCCTTGGCTATGAGGTAGAACCCACGGAAAATGTTACAACACTGTCTGTTATGAGCATGTTTATGTATCATGAGGTAAGAGATGGATGTGTGACCAAAAAAAAAAAAAAAAAAACACAAAAAAATAAAACAAAAACCACGACATTCCTCGTGAGAAAGCTACTGCTTCATCAACAACCTGGTGTGCAAAAAGAGGTCAGGTAAAGACGTGATATGACGAGAATCACTTATCTGAGCTTTCACATTATTACTTGTCTTATTGCATCATGCCTATATTACTTTGTAAATATGTTTAACACACAAAGATTAAAACAGGAAAAAACACCAAACTGAAAGGGGGGGACCTTGATTATTCAGCCCACCCCCACGTTAATTATTAATACTTAACTTCCACCTTCCCTTTGAGAGAATCCTTTAAAAGCACCTTTTATTTCCACTTTTTGTCCATCGACTCCCTTTAACGACTGACGAGACATAGAAAACCCTGACGGAGGATGCGAGCCACGCATCAGATAACGGGGCAGGAGGGTGGATTCCGAGCTAAAACCGCTGACAGTTAAAATTATTCATTTTCTTTTCCACCTCCCACCCCCCATGACGCTCCGACGAGAAACGACGAAGGAAACGCAAACAAGACCTAAAAATCACAGCGGGAGCCATGCGGAGACTCCTCCGGGCTGCCCCTGGCGCTCTCCTCGCCGTTCCCAGCTGGCTCTTCGCCTGGCGGGGCGGCGTCACCGGCGGCCTCCGTCCTCTCGGGGGAGTCGGTGTGGTTGCCGCCATCCACGGCGCCCATGTGCTTCTTGCGCAGGTGCTGGTTGAGGGTGCCCTGGAAGGGGAAGCACTTGCCGCAGATCTGACAGTGGAAGGGCTTGTTGTCAGTGTGCCCGCGAATGTGGTACTCCAGCTGGTCCTTGCGCGTGTATTTCTTGCCGCAGAACTTGCAGACGAACGGCGTGATGCCCATGTGCAGCCGCATGTGCCGGTCCAGGCTACCCTTCTGGTTGAAGGACTTGCCGCAGTAGATGCAGACCAGCCGCTCGCTGTATGGGTACCACTGGCCGCGCAGGCTGCGCTCCCGTACGTCACCCTCGAAACTTGCCGCAGGGCTGGCGGCCGCCGCTACCACCGCTGCTGCACTGACAGCTTCCCCGTCTTCCCTGAAAGGCTTGGGGCGGCCTGGAGCCTCGGGGGAGGTGCCGGCAGGCCGCTTGGGGCGGGCACGGCCACCACGAAAGCCGCTGAGTATGGAACGCGAGGGGCTGGCGCTGCTGAGGCTGACAAAGGCGGAGGCAGACAGCGGCGGGTAGGTGTAGCCAGCTGGCTGTAACATGGGGCCGTAGGAGCCCACGCTGACTGCCAGCACCTGCTCGCCATCCACTAGCTCCGTGTGGTACCCGTCGTCGCCGGCCGACGAGCTGTCCGAGCAGCTAGGCCGCTCCGCCTTCTCCATCTTGACGCGCACGTCTGTCACCTGCCCGTCCCGGCCGATCAGCTCCACCTGCTCCAGCTCTGCCTCCTGCTCCGGGGCCCCGTCGCTGCTGCTGCCACGGTCTGACTGGCCCTCCTCTGGTGCGCGTGGCCGGGCCGGGCCCTTACCTCCTGGATCAGGCCGGGCCTCGGCAGCGCCGGGGAGAGCTGCCGCCTGCCGTGGGAAATAGGGGGGGGAGACCTGCACGGGGTTCAGGAAGGCAGCCCCGTCTTTGAAGCCATCTCGGTTGCCCTGGGGGCTGTCTCCCCCAGGACTACCACCAGGGGGCAGGCTGATCTTGGAGTGGATACCTTCCAGGATCTGCGTGCACTTGTCGATGATGGCCTGCATCTGGAGGAAGCTGGCGGCGGTAAGGAAGCTGACCACATCCTTGAGCGGCAGCGCCATGCGGCCAGTGTAGCAGAAGGCGAGCAGGCGCTCGAACACCTCCGGACTCTTGATGACAGAGAGCGAGAGGCCGCTCATGGTGCCGAGGGCGGAGTGGTCACGGAAGTAGGGCGAGCTGGCCGCCAGCACGGCCTTGTGGGCGCGGAAGGGCCGGCCCTGGATGTGCACCACGATGTCACAGAGCTTCCCCTGGAGCCGCAGTTCGTTCAGCTGGCTGAGCACTGTGCTGCTGAATTCTGGCACGTCGAACTCGATCAGGCCGCTGCCGTCTTCCATGTCTGGGCCACGTCTCACGTTTTCCCGTAGATGGTCTGGGGAGGGGAGAGCACAGGGAAATGAACTTTAGTCAAAGTGAGGAGACCCCAATATTGCAGAGACTTAACCCTAAGCACTGAACCTAATGACAATCCATGTTCAATCCACCACCAATTCAGATCACTGCACTAATATCCCCCCCCACCCCACCGGTACACTGCCATAATTAGCCTGCATAGCTGGGGCCTTCCATGTATGAACATGTTTCAGACATGCTCCACGCTCCAGGCAGCTCATAAACGCATCCACAAGCACACTGTAATCTTCAGCACGACTACTTCTGGTACGACCTCAAGTCCACAATCCCTATGCTAACCCTAATTCAAAGCCATATCTTTAGGTGGCAGAATAGAAGCTAGAGTATTTCTGCGGCCATTTCCAAGGGGAAAATTTAGACACACGCCGTCAGACAGGCCTGCACAGTGCAGTCAGAAACCAAGAGTCCACACCAAGCTCAATGATCCAATTCATGAGGCAGCGGAGGGTGAAGGTCCTACATTAGGCTGCCCATTCACACTCGCTGGCCTGTGCGGTTGAAACATTTCTGCCAGTTCCGCAAAACATGTGTGTGAGAAGAGTATGCATGTCCTGAACAGCGCAGCTCCACTGACCAGCTTGCCTCTGATCTCACCCTCCACACAGGCCTGTCATCCCCTTAAACAGGAGAGGGCCTCAATAACACACAAAGAACTTGCAGACATTTGATTCCCTCTCCCTTGGGGTAAAGTTACTCAACCAGGTTAGTACCAAGCCAGCTCAGACAGGCTTTCATCATCAAGAGAGGCAGCAGGGGTAGATTTGCTGCAGGCGACCTGAGCGCCTGAAGAATGGAGAAATGCCAGCATTCCCAGCAAAACAAAATCTCAGGGTTCATACAGGTAGCCCATTTTGGCCTCACCCCCCTCCCCCCAATACACCCCCCAATGCATGGAATCGCCAGAGACATCTCCAGCGTGCCCGGGTCTCCACGTCAGCAGTCTGGGAACGTAAACACTTTCTCCGGTTGCCAGGGCTTGCCGAGCACCTGTCACCCAAGCCGCACTCCTCCATCCAGGCAGGGCAGAGGGGTGAGGGGGAGGAGGAGAGTAAGGGGGGGGGGGTGAAGGAGAGGGGGCCACACGAGGCGGCGGCGGCTTCGAGATAAGCCACAAGCCCGACGAACCAGAGCAGTGATAACACCGGCTCTTCAACACCCGCCCGCCCCCATATCAACACACACCTATACAGCCTCCAGCAGCACGCCAGCCTGCCTTGCCAAGATAGCCACGTACAGACAGAGAGTCTTACCAACCCGCTAAACCTGTCCAGCAGGAAAGGGCTGGCATCTGGGATCCAGCATTCCGATATCGTTCTCACCAGGCTCCCTAACACAAAGCTCTGTTCCATGGAAAAAAAATGCTTTGATAAAAAACAGCAGTCGAGTTTATAAATATGGAACAGTAAGTTGTTTCTTAGATATTTGCCAGTATGGGATCTTAGGTTTAGGAATGCCCCCCCCCCCACCACCTCTGCTGGACAGCAAACTCGGGCACCCAGGCACCCTGCGGTCCTGTTAAAGCTTTCCGCCCACATGGCAAACCAGTGGCCCCCGATCACCCTGCCAGTGTTACATAAGCGCCTTGACTATTTCAGCATTTCACTCCGCGAGGATGACCCTCTTCCCAGAAAGGTCGGGGTTTGGGGGGTGGAGGTGGGGGGGCTGTGCTGGGATGGGCGCTTTCTGCTGATCTAGTGAAACAGTTACCCGGTCCATGTGGGTCAAGCCATGGGCTCCAAAATTCATTTATGCTCAATGCTTTTCAGAAGACGTACATTCAAAAATACACTGCTAAATAAACAGACAAAAGAAACAGCATTGTTAATAAAACCTGAAAATACTGAACAAAAAAGCAATTAACTTTATTCTCATTACATAAAAGCTGCATTCCAAAAAAAAAGAAAAATAGCTCAACTACAGGCTAGATTTCCTGTGGACTGGAGGCTCAGTGTTCAGTGGACCGTAACTGCCATCACCTGCTCTTAATTCACTTGGGTCTGCAGCAAATTTATGTCCACACATTTCCACCCTTAAAATGCCCTTACAAGAGAGGGTTCAGTGCCTGCTTCTCACATGTTAATAAAGTAATAAAAAGCAAATTCAAAATACTGCCAAATAAGCAGGGTAAAAAGATAAGCAGGGTTTTGCGCATTTTGCAAAAACTGCAGACCTGGTTCTGCCAAATTTGCTTGACAAGCAAATCATAGTGGGAAGAACTTGACATGCAACAGAGCAAGGTCCCCAGCCTGCTACCCGTGGTCGTGGTTTGGTTAAAGATTCCTTGTTTTGATATATTCAACTGAAATGCAGGATAGTCTCATACAACCACCCCCCAAAAGATAGTACAGAAATGAAACTGCAATCCTGACAAACAACTTCCACCACATGGCAGTCCACAAGCTCATAGGGGAAAGGACCTAAGAGGAAGAATCTGAAGTGTCTCTGCCACGGTGCCGAATGCGGGAATGTGTAATGGCGCAGCAGGAGACGCCCACCAGATGTGAAAGGAGGCTAACCAAGGAGAACTCCATCACAGCCCCAGATCACTCCTCAGTCTGTAAGAGACGCACACAATTCACTCCAGAGACAGAGATAAGCAGAATGCTTCAAGGCCAGCTGGCTCTGGCAAAACATCTTCCACTTAGGACAGCTGCACTGAAGCTGAAGATTGCACTGAAGCAACCCTGTGATCTGCCTGTGCTTCCTAGCATCACCTGGGCCACACTGTCGGTGGGAGGCATGGAGACCAAGAGGAGAAATCTCACAAAGAGGAACTTTCAGTGCACGGTGATAATTACACTGTGCCTGAATCGCTGCACAATTTATATTTAAAAAAAAAAAAAAGCAATTCAAATTGGTCAGGGAAAACGAGACCTCCCACGTTTGGAAGGTGCAATCAGTACAGATAAAAATAGCACTTTGTTAACTGTTCTGCCTCTGTCCTGGTGGACAAAGCTGTCCCTTCGCTCATTTCTTTGGCCGCACTCAAACTGTTTTGGCAAAAAAGTCATGGTTCGGTGCCAAAGGAGGAACGCTGTACCATCAGCGGCACAGAAAACACTTCTATCGCCTCCTAGACTCAAGCTTCATTGCTGACCAGTAAGCCTACCCAGAATAAAAATTTGAATCACAAAACAGTATTATCAGCACACACTAAATAATATATAACTGAGCATTTCCTGTCAGAAGAGCCCTCAGAAGCCTGAGGAACCCCTTAGTAGTTCTGCATTCTTCTCAAAACATCACATTTTCTAAAGAGGATTGGAAACGTCTTTTAAAAAGCAGCAAAGATAAACATTAGTATGTTCGGCCGGTATACCGACAAAAATGCTCAGTTTAGATAAAAATCTAAGTATAACCCAAATGTCTCAAGGCTGGGACCTGCGAAGCAACTAACTGACTTGACAGCCACCGTTTGACATGCATCACTGATGGCACAGAAAGGGCGAAACTCGGAGTGGCACACAAAGCAGAGAGAGAAGACTGGGGTCTCTGGGCTGAGGGCTGAGGGCACCAAGGAGTTTGCTCAGGTTTCTTCCGCCAGCCTGCCTTTGTTCTCACGTGAGAAGTCAGCTCGGAACGTCACACAGCAGAGGGCAGGTCTCACAGGAGCGGCTCAGGAATGCACCTATACAGACTCCGGTTTAATGTTTGCGGCGCTACAGTGCCTGATCAGGCAGGGGGCTTCCATTTAAACACGCCGCATCTGTTACCCTGGGGGTGGCAGCCTCCGACAGAGATTAAAAAAAAAAAAAAAAACATTATCGTCAAACCAAACTGTCAATGACAGCAGCACCACAGCTAAGAAAGACACCCTGTTCAGGTGAAGCCTTATCTGCAATTTTTTCTTCAGTCAATTCCCTGCAATACTGCTAGATACTTCATTGATCCCAAAGGGAAATTCAGCTGCATTCATCAGCAGAGGAACATCCATATCCTGCAAAGCTCAAGAAAAACTGCAAAGGCATTACACATAGTGTACATAAACAATACCAATAGGGATTTTAAAAAATGGTCAAGTGAATAAAGGTGTCTCCAATTTTTCCCATGTTATACAGAACATGGTGCATAGAGTGTGACTAAAATTTCATCACCAGACTTCGATATGAAAGTGTCCTTTAGGGGCCTGGCTTTGAGCCCATTTGTAATCAACAGGGCCAGCATGTACCCAATGACTGGCCCAGAGCCATTCCTGTGCACTTTGTACTGCCAAGTCTGTTTAATATTGCCAACGATGAAAACACATCAACCTGGTTCTCATCATGCGGAGGATATACCAGAAAATAAAATGTATGTATAGGTTGATATCAGTGTACTGCGGATCTGAGCCCAGGGCGTGGTAGAATTGTGCGGTGTCGGGTCAAAACATGCAGCAATCATACATGGTGAACATGTGATATGCACAACTGCCTTCCCAGAAGCCCTTGCAGTCTGCATATGCCATAGGTAGCAAACACTGGTTGGAGACTGCTACTCCAGAAGGCAACTATTGTTTTTGCAGTTGGTTCACTGATTAAGAGAAAGGGTGCACCAAAAACACCTATTTGTGCATATAACTTCAAAGGTGAGCCCCTTGGGCAATTTTGATGCACTTTAGTGACTTCATAAGTAAGCAGCACCTTCTCACACAGCACATAATTCAAACAAGATCAGAAAAATCCATAAATAGAGTGGACAACCAAGAAAATGGCCCACTGTCTACATAAGTGAAACCAGAATTCTTGGGCAATGTCTACCTAACTAGCTTATGACATCTGGGGTGTTGGGTTGTCTTGTAAAGGCACTATAAATTTTTATAGTTACTTTTACATGTTTAATGACTATTGATAAATTTATTGAGTACTTCATTATTATTATTATTAATTTATTACCATTTCTATTTTTTGCATGTTTGAGCCCATTCACAGCTAGAGATGCACCGATCCAGACCTATTTGATGGATCGGGTATCGGCCATGGG